CTCTGGTGATGCATCCCAGAATGTTGTTTGCCTGGGATTTTGTTTGGTATCTTGTTTGCAACCATAATGGAGATTTTTAAAGGATACAACTCTCACTTTCTAATCACCTTCATAAATAACTCATTAACTAATAGAGACCTTGTGCATGACAACACCTAGTGAGTCTGTCTTCATTCCTGAATGAAAAAACACTAATTATGAGCTTAATAATTTAAAGTCTGATATAAACAGCAAAAAACTAAATAAAATTTTGATCTTAAAAAGTTATACATTGACTAAGGGCTCAGATAAAATTGAAATATTGAAATTTATAGTAAGATTTTGGAATTAATTATAAAGTACAAACAACTTCTCATGGGAAATAAATTCTGTTTTGGTTTTTATAAGACACAACATAAATAACTTTATGATTTCAAGAATTGTACACTAGGCAGGATTAAAGGATTTTGGTAGAGAATTTCTTACAAGATCCTTATGACAATAAAAATAGTGAAGGAGACTTTTAAAAAATGGAATCAGAAAATGGTAGCCACAATATCAACCGTTTCTATAATAATGTCTGTTTCTATGAACAGACTATGTCCAAAAAATGTTATTGAAGAAATATCATATGTAAAGCAAATTTAATCTGACAAGATAGAGAATACAATCTGACAATCTGACAAGATAGAGAATACAAGACTAAGTTAAGGAAAGTCACTTGGAATTTTCTAATGCAAAGTTGGACCATATGGTTGTCTACAAATATTTATTACCACAAAATTGTGGTTTTTCATTTAATAAAGTTTAAATATGGGATGCTACTTGATATGCAAGCTAGAGTAAATGGATGCTGTTCCACAAGACTGAATGTTCCATAGCATAGTTTTTTTTTAAAGGTGAATGTTAATGTAAGGATTTCAAAAGTGAAAATCTGTTCCTAAAGATTGGTTCTTTAATAAAGTCTATTATCACTAATCTTACAGGGAAAGCAAGTCACATCTGTTTCACAGCTCGTTCTAATTTTTTCCTCAAAATCAGCTATTTATTTTTTTTTGTCTTTTAATTTCAGTTTGGTGATCTTTGTTGTTTCAGTACTTTAGAGCGTTTATTAGCCTCATCTTATTCTGAGGTTTGGATTTTCTGGCTCCTTTACTATAACAATAAGCTGCCGATTTTTATTCTTCCTTTTGTATCAGATCTTGAGTCAATTTCTTTATTTTATTTTATTTTTTGTTTCTCAACTTATCTGTGATCTACTTATCTATCTCACACATACCTGAACTACTGCCTGTAGTTTTCTTCGCAGGATTTCAGAAATGCTTTACTGTTGCCTCCTTCCTTATGCTGAATATATGGGTTTGGCCCAAGATCACCGCTGGCTGGACAGGACCAGGACTTAAGTTTTATGTCACTTCATCACTGCACTAAACTGGATCTAATTATAACATGTACTCTACAGTTCATCTATTGAAGCCCTTAAAAGCTTTTTTCATATTTTCTTCTAATAAGGAATATGTTTGTACATATGTTTTTAGAATCCGGTTTTGGAAGTTCATTTACCAACTTATTTCTTCTTCCAGATTTCAAACAATTCTATGCTGCATTGATATTGCTGTGCTCTCACAAGATGCTAAATACCTTCCATCTATTCAGTGATTATTTTCTGCTCATTAGTATTAAATTTAAGATAACTGGCACCATAATTTCTTCTTTAAAAAAAAAAAAAGAAATTGGCAGCAAGAGAAAAAAGAATTAAAGCTGGACTTTCTTAAGGCTTTCTTAATCTTGTTAAGAATCATTGCCTAAATCATTACTACTATTGCCTAAATCAACTTGTTGAATGTCCTCTTCCTTTGCTTTGGTAACTGGTCAACAGCAAATTTCTACAACAGTGTCAGATTTATTTCTTTTTCTTTTTAATTTGATGCAGATGCTTTCAACAAGATTTCCAGTTTGGGGGCATACATTTGTTCACAAGCCTATTGCTATTATACATACAGAGCTATTTTGCCTCCTTCTTTATAGGGTATATATCTTTTGAACAAGCCTTATCTTTTCACTAGTGTTATCTAATCTTGATTCTCATCCCACGAGATTTCTTTTAACCAAGCAATATTTGATTTCCCAGTTTAGTATTTACTTCTGTCTTCTTGTTATGTATTCTCTGGGCAATAGTGTATAGACACTGAAGATTAGAAAGATTGTTGTTTACAAATCTATCTAGTTAGCACTGATGTGTTGGATTTTAAGTACTGCTTTCTGACTAGTGCAGGGGTGTCAAATTGCCGGCCCACAGGCCGGACACATCATATGGAAGCCGTGCCCACCCCATTGCCAGCAAAACCGGCCCGATACGTTGCACGACATCACGTGACATCGCGACTTTGACATGCCTGGACTAGTGGCTCCACAATTATGGTATACAGCCATTTTCTCAATGCCCAGCATTCTCCACTGAGTCGTTGCATATCTCTCCCCACTTTAATTTAAATCTTCCATTAATGTTTGCATGACTATTGACAAGTATAGTTTTTCTTATCCTTCTGAAGGGCAGCCCACCACATCTCCTCTTGGACAGCTGCCAGTGTCCTTTTCTCATTGGTGCTCTTACATTGCGGGCCTTCAGAGAGACAGACCTCTCTCTCTGCGCTTAGCAAACACATATTATCTGGTCAGAAAACACATGACCAGAGAACCTTTCCCAAACTCAGTGAATCTGTTCCACAATTCACCAGGTTATTTCTTAATTCTGTCCAACAATTAACACTACTTCCCCACTGTCCTAGTTCCTCCCCAACATAAGATTGTTCTATTAAATGTACAAATGATATTTAGGAGCCTTCTATGGCCTCCAATAGTTCAATAGATAATCATCGATCTCCTGATATTTCATGGCTTATCCCAACACCTTGGTTGACATAGTTCACTTATATTAAGATTTGCATATAGACATAATTTTGGAAGATACTCTTGAAAGCTTTGATTGTACATCTCTACAACAGAAAAGGTTCAGGTAGAGTCATTAAGCCACTGGAGTTTCTTATCTATCTTCTGCAAATAAATTGGCTTATTCCAGATTTCTAAAAAATTGAAGATCTTGTATTGTATTTGAGGACAGATGTATATATATGTAAGCATTTTTCTCTGTAATAGTGAAGTAGGATAAGGTAAGAAAGTTATGCAATAGAGACAAATAGCAAAGGTAAAACAAAAAGCAACAGGAAGCATGAATGAGCATGTTGCATAGCTTTGTATGTTCACTCTTACACTTCATCATTGAGGCAAAGCTAAAATAGCTGCGGGTAGTTTTAAGGAAAATCTTGTTTAACCATATGCATATATACATATACACCAAGACATGATTATGCAAAATGTTTGTTTAGATTCCGTAAGTTCTACTACATAATTGTAAAGCAATTCAAGTAAAGTTAAGAGGACCAGATACTGTCTTCCTCTCTTCTTTTATTAGCTAAATCAACCTATCTGATATTTGGACCCAGACATTTTATTGTTTTAGAAATTTAATTATGATTCATTCATTTCAACTTGTGAACTTTTGCTCTGAGAATAGAAAAATAATTCCTTAAAAACGCAAGAAAGAAAGAAATGCAACACAAAACAAAATGAATTCCTGTCATAGGGAGTTATTTCAATCTTTTCTTTCCCAGTACCCCCAACCCACACCTTTTTTTCCTTTACCAGAACATTTTTTTTACCAAAACATTTTTTTACCAAAGCATTGGTGCCAATTAGATATTAGGTGTGTCATTAACATAGAAAAATAAACATATTGTCTTACTAATTTGCCTTTTTAAAAAAAAAAGAGGTTTTCTGAAGTCCTTTTTCTTAAAATAAGCAACTTTGTAGGCAAGCTAGAAAGCCACTGCTTACACTTCTTTGCATTTAAGAAAAGTCTCAGGAACAATAGCAGCAGAGTGACAAAATAAGCTTACAAGTCAGTCAAGACTGGAACAACAAGTTGTAGAAGACTCCCAATAGCTTTTGCCAACAGCACTCCCATAATCAAATGCAGCTACACCCATTCAATAAACTTGCAAAATGCAATTTCCATTCCTAGAATGTAAAGTAATAGATCTAGAATGTTTAGAAAGACAAACAAATGTTATGTACCACCATTCTTAAACCCAGTACTTTTCAAATGTAGGTAGTCCTTGATTTACGACTTGTAAATTATGGTTAGTTAGGACCATAATTTTGGTTTTTAAGGATTGCAGTTGTTAAGAAAGTAATCATGTGACTGGACCTAATTTTATGACCAATTTTACTGTGGCCATTAAATGAATCACTGGGGTCATTAAGCAAGTCACATGGTTGTTAAGCTTAACAAATCCAGCTACCCAATTGATTTTGCTTGTCAGAAGCTGCAAATCACGATCACGTAACAAGATGTTGCAACCATGGTAAATATGAGCTGGTTGCGAAGTGCCCCAATAGCAATCACATGACTGGCTGGGGTGATATGATAGTTGTAACCTTGAGGACAGGTTTTTATTTTTTTTCCAACTTTGAAACATTGTTAAACATATGGTCATAAGTTGTGGAATACCTGCATTTATATTTAGACTAAACAGAACATTTGTTTAGTTCACGTTTGATTCTGGGGTCTAAATGGGAAAATCTTGGTATGAAAGTCAGTTGCCATTGCCTTTTTCCAGGGTGCTCTTTGGTAAGAACAATCTAGACTATTATCCTAAGATTTCCTGGTGATTTCACATTTAATTACAAACCAAGTCTGATCCCATTTAAGTTCTTTTTGTCAAATAACAATAAGGTTAGTCAGGTGTGCTCCCTGTTGTAAAATCTGGAGTATATAAATCCTAAACAAAATGTACATATCCCAAGACTATATATTGTTCATATAAGTTAATGGTATAGTTATCTATGTTTTAATATACAGTATTCTTCATACTACTTTCTGTATATTGCTTCTTATATAATCCTCTTAAAACACTGCACAAATGAGAAATAACTGTTATGTCACTAAAACATGTACTTACCTGTAAACAACTTTGTGACAGCTTTATTCTGCTTTCGAGCAGAACAGAGGAGCAGCAACCATGGGGGGAAAAATTCATAGTGAGTAGCTAGAAGTTCAGCTATAGTTCCAGATAAGCTTGTAGAGGTCTGGTCACCTTCAGCAATATTGCACCCCTCATCTACTGAATCCACCAAGAGAAAATAACTTTGTTGGGGGCTCTTGGTTCCCAGAAGTGGAAGCAAAATGCACCTGAAACAAAAAAGGAAGAAATATAAAAATCATTGTGTGTACACATAATACCAGGGCTAAGCAATGGCTTAAAAAGAACATGCACAAATATGTGAGAAGCATCTATTTTCAAATAATTAAAGTATCTGCAATTTTTCCAGGCTTTTATTGCTGCTTCAGAAGCTCTTCTTTCCCAGCTAACTCTGCATTTCTACACCAATTCTGCTTCAATATATGATATTCAGATACTTCAAAAGAGTTTCTAAAGTAGTCAAACATATTGTAAAAAAGAAGCTATTTTAAACTTTGAAAGGGAGTTCAACATGTAAACATAGCACACAAAGAGCCTCTTTGGAATTTGTCCAATAAATACATTCTGTCACATTATTAGAAATTATGTGAGTGGAACTTGCATCTATGTGGACAAAAATATCCTTACTATACACATTAAAATATTTTCTTGATATTGTTGAGGACTCCTAATTTTTTACAATTTGTTTATTATGCAAGAGTTATAGATTGGCACTAGCATTATTTATAACTTGAAGCAGGTATTAGTCACTCTAATTTAGACTTCTGGAAATTGTATACCTAATATAGCCAGAGACCAGCTGATTGAAAAAACAAATCAAACATTGAACTCTTGAAGACAATCAAGTGTACAGTTTGTGTGTAATAACTTCCAATTATGAGAACTGAATTACAGTCTTTCAGAAAATAAAAGTTCCAGCTTCCTTTCTAACAAGATATAATAATAACAGCCACAGTGGCCTAAATTGATTTTGGCCAGCTTCAACTGCCCTGCCACATAACTATGACCATTCTTAGGCAGAAATAATTAGCTGCTAGTAATGATCTACATTAGATTGTCCTCAAATCAGTACAGAAAAGGCAGTCAGTGCACAATTTGGCAAATGCACAGTTGTCAGTAATATGCAGAATTAATAATACCTGTTGTAAGATAACTGCGTGCTCTGACAATACCTTCATTCAAGGGAAAATGAAGTCATTAAAAGCCATAAGCAGTTTGGAAACACGATAAACTATCAAGATTCAGCAGCAGGTATAGTAGTATTTGTTTAAAACATTTATACACCCACCCATCTTATATCAAAATCTCGGCAATATGAATAATATGAACACATGACTAGAAGCCCAGTTAAAAACAAGATGAAGAACAAGGTTAAAATGTATAGGTTAAAAGTGAAAAACCAAAGTTAAAAAATTCAGAAGACTACAAACGTTAACTAGGTGGAGGGAATGCTTTCAAAATAATATAATACCATGTTAGAACCCACAGAGAAGCTCTTTTCTGCTTCACGTTATTGGAAACATGGGAAAAATCTTTGTGTTGTGTGTGTCTTTGAATCAATTTTTAACTCCTGGCAACTGCCTGAGCCAGTTCCTACAGTTCCTACAGTTTTCTTGGCAAGTTTTTTCAGAAGTGGTTTGTCATTGCCTTCTTCCTAGGGCTGAGAGTCTGCAACTGGCCCAAGATAACTTGGGTTGTGCCCGAGGTGTGACTAGAACTCACTGTTTCCAAACTGGCTCTGAAGAAATTACTAGATCACCACCCATTATGGCAGATTACAGAAGAAAAACATACCATTTAATAAGCTTTCCAGACAATATTTAAATGCTTTATTATCCTTCACTCTGTAAAGATGTTCTTCTATGACTATATTTCAATATCTGATTAGCATTGATGTTCACTGTATTCTATATGTCCTGATTCTATATGTCCTGATTCCTGAACTGCTTTCTGACATTGGATTGTTATATTTATGTAGAATTGCCGGCTGTTGCATTATAAAAATTATCATAGGGTCTAATCCCACTTCTTGATCATAGAAAGGAATCAGGAAATACTCTGTACTCTACAGATTTTTTTAAATGAAATTAGTTAAATTTGCCAGTCTTGGGAAAGAACCAAGGAAATCGATTGAACATAATAAGCCAGAAGGCAAGATGTTTCAAGCCCCTCTAATGATAAATTGATTAGGAAATTACCACCTTTAGCAAAGAAACTATACTAAACTATAGTTGAATATAATTAACTGAACAAAGCTAAGAGGTTCCATGCTGTGGAGTAATTTTGCTCAGATATCAACATTGGCATCATCATTTTGTTTCTGCAACTTATCAACAAAAAGATGACCAGACTATATAACTGATTCTTTTAATAGCACATTGTTACTTATAATTAACTAATTCTGATGTTTGTTAAGCACTCATCAACATTAGATCTGAGTAGAAATACTGACAATTGTGACCTGTCTCTCCTCAGTTCCACACAGAAATAATTACTATTTTTGCTTAAGCGATTAAAAAAGCAACATATATATTATGCAGGATAGAAAAAGTATTGATGCTTGTAAATTTTGATGGTGTAGAAAATTCTTGAGAATAATATGGATAGTCAGATAAACAACTAAAATAATCATAGCACAAATTATCACATTTTGAACACATTATGTCAGTGCTCCCGTGAGAATAATGGAAAGAAAAAGAAAAGGAAAAACCAGTAACAAGGAGAATGAACTTGATTATAGAGGCAATGAGTACACCACTGGGTGACATGAAGTGCCAGATTGAAGACATTCTGCAGAAGATCAGTCTACGTGATTGCTAATCGTTGACAACAACTTGGTGCCTCATAATCAAAAAATCAATTAAAGATTGTGGTTCCCATCAGCTCCCCCAAACTAGAGATCCTACTACAAAAGTTATGTTTCAGCACGTTTAGAAAGTTATTTTTGTAGTTTCTAACTGCAATGTGATTTGAATTCTATTTCACAAGTTATTCAATAGGACAACTATTCCTGCTATAAACTTCATAGGAAGTTAGTTTCAAATCAAAATGAATTACTTTTTACACCATTTTTCCAAGATATTTGTTTATTACTCTCACAACAACTGAACTTTTAGAACATCCTGGGATTGGAAAAAAATAATATGTAATAAATTTTAATATGTCTGTCACAAATGCATAAGAATCTAAGCAATCATTTCCAAGACACATCTTCTCAGTAGTTGCTATTTCTATAGATGAGTCCTTTACCCCCAAGCACCACTCACTGTATATCACTAGATACTTTTTTGGTTTAACAATTTGTTTGAATCATGATTTCCCTAAGATACAATGAAACATACACATAAAGCGGAATAAAAGTATATAGAAAAAGAAAAAAAGATCCCTTCTAATTGCGGTTACTGCAGCTTTTTAATCCTCAAAGAAGTTTTTTTCAGGAATAAACCATGCAATGATGGCTTTACCTAGCGGAGAAGGTGTAGTTTGTGTCCCCAAAAAACAGCTTTCATCCTTTTAAAAAATAAAATAAAATAAAAAAATAAAATTAAAAAAAATAGTTCTAAGAATGTGATAGGCACAAACTGCCTTAGTTTACTATATTCCATCTGTGACTTAAACTTCTCAGAGGCTTTTTTTTTTTTTAAAGCTGAACATGGTTAGAAAGTTTTGGTGTAGTTGTTGCAACTCTATGTTCCCTGAACTGTTGAAAAACAATCTGAACATTTGGGAGTAAGATATTGCAAATGGTAAGAGGTGCATTATTCAACATCCGTTACACTAGTAGGGGATAAATAAGCTTTGCCCGCTTCCACTCCATTTTCTGTTTTCTATTAATTTAAAATTTTCCTTTCAACTGACTGAAGTGAGAAGAAAACCTATGGATATTAGCTTCCAAACTATATTATATTTTTTCCCTATTCTGGGGGAATGAGATATTGACGGAATTGATCCGATCAATATCAACACAGGGTCTATTTCTGGGAAAGGTTAGAAATTTCTTCAGTAGGTCAAATTTTCTTTTTTCTATCTTCCAAGTGGGAGATCTAAATTTTCTCTCATTTGCTCCATGCCCATTCTCCCAGGAACCCGAATCATCTTTAGCTTACTCTCTCCTTTCATATATATCACCTACTACTTTAACAATGCCAATTTTACAAATGTAGAATTTTTAAAAGTCACATATTAACCTGTCACAGATAAAAAGAAAATAGAATAGTTACATTCAAGCATCATGTAATAGAGGAATAAATATGCTTTAAGCACCTTCCTCAACTATAAAAAGAAAGGAACATATCAGAAACTTTCTTCTCCACTCACAAAAGATTTCAATGTAGGAAAAAAGAAGCAGAGTTTATTGTTGATTTTATACACATCTAAAGGGGAACAGTAAAAGGTGACTTGCTAACGACCAGAGAGTGGGGGATGGACTTTGTTCTGGTGATAGTTTGCGTGTAAGCTGGACACAGTTTGTTCATCAAAGCCAGCAGCTTCACTTGGTTTGCAAAGGCAATGAGCGACCAGGATAACTGTTTCACATGGAAATGGCATGACACTTCCAAAAGTAAAAACTCATGAAGCATGCCTCCACATTCTGAGTCCTCTTCGTTTACGGACTATCTTCAAAGAGCTACTTTGGATTTGCAATACTTCAACCTTGAATTATTATGGAAACGTCTTTTATATAATTTAACAGGCAAAAACTATTTATATCTATATTCCACAGAATTATGCACAACCTTTTTGACAACAGCAAATGTCCTGCTAAAATATAAAAATAGTCTACTTTGTTGAATTGAAGATGCAGACACTAGGAGGAAGAGGTATTTCTTAGAATACCTCCCTTCCTGACTGCACAAGAGTCTGCTTTTATCCGTACTGAGGTTTTTTTTTCTGAATACTCACAGCTAACATAGTCAAGGTAATAAGATCATATGTAAAACTATACTTCTGAAAACTAATATAGCAACAATAGCTAATGAATTCAGTGTTCCATAATAATCTACTAGCAATATAGCCTTATAAACATTTGCTTTAGCTGTAGTCTGTTTTAAATATACCTCTTTATCACTTCACAAATCATTAAGATGTTAAACACAAGTCATTTAAAATCCTGAAACTTATACTAAAACAGTCAGTAACAATAGAGAAATACAAGTTTATTATGACATGCTTTTAAAATGGAACATTGTAGCAGATACAACATCTTTCC